AGATTTAGACACTTCCCTAAACTAATGTTTATCACATCACATGACATTTCTAAATTTTATCTGACGCAAGTAAAAAGAAAATCCTTTTTACCACTCTGCATGTTATACATAGGCAATTCTCTCCGTTTAATCCTGTCTATTATATTGACAAGCTTGGCTAATCAAGCAACAGCATGGTACATAGTTTGACACTTCACATGGACAGTTGTCCTTTCTTGGCAATAAATTACACTGTTGAAGACAGAATTATTCCCTTATTCCAAAACGTTATAAACTGGAAATATTTGAGTTGGGTGAAATATTTTGGCCTAATTTAGCAAGCAGTTTTTCCCTACTGTTTTGGACCTCCTGCAGCCCCTTAAGACAAGACAAATACGTTTAGAAGTGCGTTGCCATCTGACTGAATTGGTCACAGTTCACACCTTGTTTCCAAGAGACAACAGGAAAATAAAGTCACTAGGTGAACCAAGTGCATACATGTGCCTGTGTGTGTCTCCCTGCACATGTGTGGTTTTTTGTAACTCATTGAAATCCTATCACAGGAACATGTAGGACATACGTTCTAAGAACAGTTGGTTTTAAGTGTAAGGCTGAAAAATTTCATTAGAAGAAAGAATATTAGAAAAAGCTCTAGCGATTTATATATTTTTAACTAACAGACACCTAGTTGCTTGTATTTCTTCTAGGCGCTTATGTCTGTCTTTTATAAGCGCTAGCAAAAATTTGCCATTTAAAAACTTCTTACACACAACTTGTACAGAAGTCCCATTTAATCATGCAACAAAGCCATAAAAAGAGGTATGTGATATCACACTTCTTCACTCGGCAATCAATTATGTTAGTGAAGACAGACTTGTACCCTCACTCCATAAGTTATCAGAATTTGTAAAGAAGTAAAATCTTATTCTTATATAAATCTTTAAGAAATAACTGAGTAAAAGGAGAAAAAGTAATGAGCCGTGCTATGATTTGTTTAAAACATTTTTTCATGTTTGACCTCCCTTTCATTTAGTGTCCTGTAGAAACATCTAACTCTTCTTTATTCGGAAAACTAAAATTATCAGAAGCAGTAATTTTCTATAAATTGCATGTGTGTCATATGAGCTTGGAAATATATTACAACTTTGGTTAAAGATGATAAAATGCTACAGTTAGTGTTATTATAAGAAGGAAATGAAGAACAGAAAAATTAATTGGTGAGTGGCTACTGTATTCTGACAAATTTTAAATTGAGGGTTTTTTTTCCATTACATGTCAAATTTGTAATCGATTAAGACATTCTGTGCTACTTAAAAAGGGCACATATTAAATATTCGACTTCATAAAAAGCACTGAAAATCCTTCTCCCCAAATATTTCCAGCTTGATAAGAGCAGGCAAAAAGCATTAAGAAATGTAAACACACAAGAAAATTGCAAATCCCACCTGATGATCCAAATATATAGCATTCCTTTGAAGGTGATGTGAAAGAATCTCATTCTAGCAGGCAGCAGTCAGGGGGAAAAAGGAAAGGGACAGAAGGTGCAGAATGCATGAAAAGAGCTTTCAAAGACGTAAACTAGACAGTGATCTTTCTGTTTTATGTAGAAATATAATGCTGTTTTAATCTGCTTTTTTTTGGTGAACTGTTAACAAGTTTTGATCCCAAAACAGAAGCGATGAAAGTTTGCCACGAATCAGACTACGAACTACTACATCACATTTGGTTTTACATATAAAATACAGTAAGCTGATGTAAATGTCTACGACACAGACAACTATAAACCCTTTGATAAATCTGTGTTTTAACCATGTCCTGATTTTCATACACAGATTACAAATAAGATTGTATCTGATATGAGGCAGTATAAACAATAAATTAATCTCATGATCTATCACAACTAATTTTGATTATAACAATAGGTTGAAAACCTTTGACTTTAAACTTAACTACAATATATTTTAAAATATTCCTATGTAATTTTGACTCAGCTAATATAAAAAAGCTATGAGTAAAGCCTCAAAGGGTTAATAGCAGCACATCACATACACAAAGAACGAAAGTTACTCTATTCTACTCCCATAGTAGTCAGAAAATTTTGCACTAACGGTACAATGCAAACTTTGATTAATAAATGACTACAAGTTAGTGAGAATGGTACATGACACACATTGCTTTATAGCTGACCTTTGGGCTGCTGGCCTCAAGTTTTAGCTGCATGAGCTGTGCTAGTGTGTGTTCCCGGATACTACTCAGTTCAGCTTGCTGCCGTCTCAGCTTTATTAGCAGCAGCGTGAGCTCCTCTGGCTGAAGGAGTGCAGTGTGAGAAGCCAAAGAGTAGAAAAAAGGTTAATTGGTATCCTAAACAACACTTAATTACAATAAGGGTTCTTAGTATCTTTCTTACAAAAACTTTCTATAGTGATACAACAAAAGAGACACCGTTTTTCCCCCAAATTGACCACTTTCAAATATATAACGAAGGGTTAACTTTTAACTACTCAAAACAATTTATACTGCAAATGCCGTAAAAGTGGAACATTCTGTATAAAGGACAAAAAATAAGTGAGGATTTTGCAGGTGAAAGTCTCAGACTTTCTGACATGCGTATCAAATTGATGATATTGACTTAAGTGAAGGGGAAGATAACTTCAGCCCTTTGGATATCATTACCTGTACATGGACAGCCATTTGAGCTTGGCGAAAGAATAAAAAAATGCCCTCAAGAGAATTTAGTTTCCAAAATAATTCTTCAAATGTATGCGTCAAAATTAAGAGTAAAAATAATAAAAAACCCAATAACTGAACTACATCAGAAACAATCGCCTTTCACAAAATAAAACTGCACAAGCATGACAAAAATAATTTTCTGTCCCACCTTCCACAGCTCTGAGGCTACCAGTTAATTTATTGCTTTACTTTTATGACTAAGATGTACAATACAGCCTTAGGAAGGGATGAAGAACAGTATTTAAAACCCAAGATTATATACATAATGGAAATAAGGTCACACTCAAATGGGTATTTGTTAGGTAATTCCACACAGATCAGTTTAGGTCAGTTCGGGAAACTCTACCAGAACCATTCCTGGGAACCACTTCTATTAGCTATACTTCAAAGAAAACAAAACACTTAACATCACAAGTATTTTTATTATGTTCCTGTTTGCTTCTGTTTCTTACACTTCTCCAGAAGTCAGTCTTGTAAGAGGTTAAATATTCATCCAGCATTTTGATTTTCTCACAAGTTCTGTGAGTTAAAAAAACCAAAACAAACCCAAACAACCCTAAAACCCCGCTTGCTCTCTCCCACAGTCACAGAATTTCTCCAAAGCAAAGAAGTAAAGAAAAAAGCTCCAGAGAACCACAGATTAAATTACTGAAAAACAAATACCAGTTTCTTAGAATGAAGAAGAAAAATCCCTGAGAATAAGCGTGGCACTGGCACCATTGTGAGCTCGTACCAAAGTAACCCACAAGAGGGAGCAAGGGATTTCCACATAGCTTCAGTTGTCAAAACCATTTGCTTTGAGAGAAAACCAACGCCAAAGCCAAATTGTCTAATGGCCAGTCTTCCTCTTATAGTACTCTTTCAATACCTGGATTTAAAATACTTAATTTCAGAGAGTAAGTGTAAGAATCTAGACTGCTATACAAGACATTTTCAAGTTCTCTCCAAAAATCAGTGACAATGCTTTCAGTCTGAAAATTAACGTCATTTCAAAGCACAAGAAAACTTATTTTTAGAAATAAGAGAATTGAAAGTAGCATCTTCAAACAAAAGGAACAGTGAATCACTTTTTCAAGATCAACACTCTTCTCGGTATGTTCTGCAAAAGCCCGATTTTAGTGCATTAGGAATAAACTATTTAATGGTACTTAAAGCCAATGTTTGCAAGCAGACTTTTTTCCAGAGGAGCCCATCAAACAGTAATCCTACTTCTCTCTAGACATTCGTAACGTTGCAAACATTTTTGACATTGCTGTAAGTGCTGTGCTTTTGATACCGCTCTTGGGACTCTTGCAGCAACCACAACACAGAATTTTGTTTAAAGAACTACCCACAGGTTTCCTCCTCTGGCCCCTGCAACACTGGTGCTGTGGGCAGGACTTCTGGTTTCTACAGGTAGAAGCTTGGACCTCCTTGCCCCCTAACCCGCTCATCGGCCCAGCTCCAGCAGCAGAGCCCAGGAGAGCTGATGGGACCATGAACCCAAAGAAACGTCTGTGGAAGACAAGGCACAGAGATAAGGCGCCAGCTGCCAAAGGCCAACCTGTAAGCTGCTGAAGGTGCCAGGGATTCACGCTGGGAAGTGCAAGAAACAGGGGTCGAGGCAGTGGAAGGATTGACTGGGGAGCTGCTGCCCACAGTATGATTCAAAATCTGTATTCTCAATTCGTAACTGTCTCAAACAGTGATTTTAGATGGGCAGAGAAAGATTATGGAAAGGAGACAAAAACTGGTAAATAAATGTAGTAAATTTAGGACAATTTCTTAGCTTTTGGCTAAGAGTCATGTTTCAATTAGGAAGGTGGACAGCATTCACCAATATTATTTTAATGAAATACCTTCAATCAGAGTTTCAGCTCTATCACAGAAAAATGGGAGATGTCAGAAAGGACCATCATTTTACCATATGCAGTATCCTTAAGATTTCCAAAAAAGGTAAACGCTACTTCTAGGATTTTCTATATTCTTAATGGAGAAATAAGCGTTCTGTGATGTATTCTACCCTCTCCCAGGAATTTCTGTAATGTATCAAAGATGATTAAAAAAAAATAAAAATCTGTATTTCTCAAAGAAAATCTGGAGTCAGCAGCTACAGAATATTCTCAGAATTCAGTGTAACCTCAGAGTACTACTTTATTTGCTTTAAAAATCCCTGATAATTTAAATAAAGTCTACATTTAATAGAATAAGAAAATAAGTTTTGAATAGAATAAGACTTCAGTGTTGCCTCTTCATACTTAAAGAATTATTCGTAAGAAAATACTCATGTACCAAATAAAAATCCAACTCACTGTTTTGCCTTGGAGGGTCTGAGGAGTAACAGGCTGTAAACTCAGACCTGCTGGCATTGACCTTCTGTCAGGCACAAAGACATGCTGTACAAAAACAAAACAGCACAGTATGATCCATAGTTAAAGACTCAACAACTATTAAATGCTAAAAAAAAAAGTCAAGCCAACTTCACTCTCATGACAAATTTGCTATGATCTGTGCCAGCTTTGGCCAGCCATGCTTCCTGCCGATCTACCATCTAGGACACTCGACTAGGCTACCTCTAACTTCTAGAAATAAGCCAGCTTTCATCGTTCATTTAATTAACAGTCCTCCCTCACAGCTGTTGCCCTAATCACAGCCCACATAAACAACAACAGTTTTAGTTTTTCACCCATCATTGAAAGCTGATTAAAACCCTAAGTTCTCTATATAGATGGAGTTTAAATCTTAAATTTACCCTACTGATTTCAAACAGTCTTCTAATTACCACCTCTTAAAAACAGGTTTGTGTTTCTAAGTTAATGGAAAAAGCTAGTTGTGTAACTAAAAAAATCCCACAAACCAAATAGCATGAAAATCTGAAGGTAAATAAGAATCCTTTATACAAGATGCTAAATATGAAATTAAATACTAGCATAAAGTGTTCCACAAGGAAAAAAATATGAGAAAGCAAAACATGGCTGAAAGGACAAGTAAGCACATGCTCTGCAGCACTGACTCCACTGGTATTTCTCAGATTTGTGAGAAGCACCCATTACCAAATTTCCAGTGCAGCTGAGACATAAACGATGTCAAAACAAGATGACTCCTTTGCTGATAAAGACCTAAAAACTTCCAAAACCAAGACTTAGTAATCAACTATAAGTTGATTTATAAACTGCTTTAAGATGTAGCTAAATGTTTTTTTTTTTTTTTTCCTGCATCAAGAAACTTAAAGACACCTGAAATAAAGATTTAGGAAAAATGATCAGGAGTATTTTATACAAACTCTAGTTTTATATCCAACTGAAAGAGGAATTTTTATGTAATTAGCTCCAGTCTGTTAAAAAACATGCACAATACAAGCAAGATGGATATAGCAGAGCCACATATGGCAACCCAGGTTCACAATTCTTCGTGTCTCCCTCTCACTGATGAAGACCAGCGAAGTTACACTAGTCGAGTGCTAAGGTTGTGTGCAAATAGATTCTGATCTTTAGTGATCTCCCTAGTAACTCAAAGGCATCAAAAGAAACAACTACACTCAGTTTTCTGCTGGAACCCAAGGCAGCCAAACTTGTGGCTGAAAAATAGAAAACAGCACATGGAAAGAAATGTGGGATTTTCAGTCCTCTTAGAGTTCCAGCTAAAAAAGCTAGAAAGGAGAAAGATTTCTGTACATAAAACAAACTATTCTGAATAATTTGCTTATTTTCTTTCCTTTAGATAAACATAATATCATGGACAGAAAAATGAGGACAACGTGTTTTCACCTAGTGTATTAGAAAAATATTTTTTTACAACCTTTAGATTTTAAATGCTTTTTAAAATCTAACCTTTCTCCATGAAAACAGTGGTGTAACTTAATCGTCATTATAATAAAATATACTACAGTGCAACAGTTTTACGGTAACCATATACTTTCTACTAAAATTCCTTGTAAACAGGATTTTTAACTATTAAAATAAGTATTTTTACCTTAGTATGATGCGTCCTGTGTCTGCGATCAATAGTTACATCTCCCCTTTGCACTGGTGAAGACACTTCTGATCTGTAGGTCCGCTGTGGGGAATACCCTTGGAAACCAGCGATTGAACCGTGAGAAGGTGAGGTGGGAATCGAATGCATCGTCTGATCAGAAATATTAATCATAGTTTTTGGGCTACTTAAAGTACTGTGTCTAGTAAGAGTTGTTTGCTTATTGTAAAACTGACGTTGCTGCCATTCATAGAGCTGCCACATCGTGTCATCGCGCATTGACCTCCGTTTCTCTTCGGCTGTTACTGGTCCTATAGCTCGGTCATAAGCCGACGGTGTTACGCTGCAGAGGCTCTCCGGCCGTGCTTTGCTGTTTCTCGGCAGTGTTCTGTAGCCTTCTGGGTACCGGGGTAAAACTTGAGGTCGATGGCTTGGCATGTTTCTTGGTAACGTCTGATATGAGATTATGCTGAAACACAAATTTTCTTTTTATTAGTGGACAGCATTACTATTATGGCAATATAAAGTTTTTCAATATTGGTTAGGTTTATCTAGCTATTACTTTTTTTTTTTTAATACTACAAGTGTCATTTAAAAATATGCAAGAAAATCAAGACACAATTAAAGAATCAACTATACTGATTGAATGCACTGTAGCAGCCAAAACTGGAGCCTCTCTCTGATTAGCTGCTTGATTATATAATCCACATTTCATCTTTTTACCAGTTTAACAGTCTAGTAGCGTCAAGTTTAGATCAAATCTTGTAACCTGTCTATATGCTGGATAGGTCAAAGTTTTGAAAGCTTTGAAGTTCTGTACTGTTTCCATATGAGCCCATTTTAAATGTTCTCTTTTTCAAAAGTGAAAAAGTCTCCTGTAGTTTCCCTAAGAAAATCTCGAGCAATTACTATGGACATAAAAAAAAATTATGATTTTTTTTAACTGCAGACCAAGGAGAAATAGCAGTAATTGTCTCATGAAATTATATTTTGCAATTGTCAAGGACAAGCCATTCCATATCAGCTATTCAAGTGAAACAAATAGCAAAATATTTCTTTGTTTGGTAATAATATTGTATTGCTTTGCAACTCGGATGTGAATTCAAAGGCTTATTCTTTAATTTGTTGCCACATCAAAATTCTGGACTGCTACAGTCATTTATCAATTTTCAGCATTAGCTGAAATGCAAAATTTTCCATACTGAGTATCAATGCATGCCTAAGTATGACAAAGCATTCCTTGTTTTTTCAGAGGACAAAATCTAGGTCACAAACATTGATTCATTCAACCCTTATCTAAAATTCAGATGAGCACCTCTTAAAGACTTTTGCTACTGATCACATCTATGATAGATGCTTGCCCAGAGACAACAAAACTGATCTCAAATTGGACATGATTCAGCCATCATAGGGCAGCAGCTTCTAGCTACACCCCAGACTAATTCAATAAAATCCCTGCCACCACGAGGCACCAGAATCTGAACATGGTTTTGAAAGACTTCAGCGCCACAAAAACATTAAAGAAATGATGTAGGGCAAATGGCAAAATAAACCAGCATTATGCATGTTAGATCCTTCTGGAATAACTATCAAGGGAATTGATGACGGTAAAACCCACTTGTCACTGAAAATAGTTAAGCTGAGTATTTATGATCACCTGTAACATTTTGGAGATGAAAACTGCTATAAAGAACTTCACATACAAAATCTGCTACAGTTTCTGAAGCTTTCCAAGAATTAATGAAGTATTATCGCAATTTTGTAGATTGGACAGCTTTCCATTCTCACAAAAAAAAAAGTTATAAAAAAGGGAAATGGATTCTAAATCCTATTCTTTTGCTGCAAAACCCGCTTAAATACCTCTAAATTTCTTCATGTAATATACCATTAATGACAAGGGCCTTTCTCCATCTCCATATTTAAAAAGCAAACAACCAAGACACCTTTGAGTTCAATTTCTAATTTTCAAAATATTATTTTAGCTATTCACAAACGGGTATGGTGAAGCCTGATATTCTCATGAAGATATCTGGTAGCTAGATACACCTCACTCACTGAAATTCCTCTCCCATTTTATTAATTAAATGAGCAGTGTGATCCTGTTGGCTCCTTTAAATATCACAGACAACTTGAAGAAAAGCTGTCTGAAGTTCTTACTATGTAAAGATAGCAATTTAAAGTCTGCACGCAATTACTTATATTCTAGAACATTTAGGAAGATAACATCCATTTTCTATTGGTAAACCATGAAAACTGTAAAAAGCCCAACCGCCTCAATATTAAGCCTTGGTTTACATCATTTGATAAAATCAAAACAGATTCACCGATGTCCTGTTGATACTTGCAAAAATGTCATTCTAGTCAAATCCAAAAAACAACTCTAGACAGCACTGCAGCTTGTAGCTGCCTGGCACATAAGGGGCGTCTGCTGCAGCCAGTCAAGCAGTCATGCACGCTGTGAGGTTGCAAAATATTTCTGCAACTGTCATCATAAATAGCTCCCTACAAATGTTCCCATATAAAAAAAAAAAAAAGGCTTCCACACGAGTTTATAGACTCCTTATAGGTACCTTTAGAGGTTGTCTCTAGGATTACTGTTGGGTGGCAACACTGGTTCTGGTGTCCGAGTTGGACTATTTGGGAAGGCGACTTTGCTGCTAAACCTTTAGGGGCTCAGTTTGGCAATGTTATGAATACCCTCAGATGGAAACCTCAAAATAGGCCTTCACCCTAAAGAATGCGAACGTCAGCTGGCCCAGAATACAGAACTTTCACGTGTGAATCAAGCAAAGGGTGGCAGAGTGAAGACGGAAACCTGGTGCTGTACAGCAGGCATTTATTATTTAGGATGAGGCTTATATGGGCAAGGTGGGGAGACAGAGGCTCACACCCTGAGTTAGCAGCAACAAAAACCCTCACTTAGTACCATGCAACCCTTCTGTATTTTTTCACATTTGAGAAAGACTACTTAAGTGAACCACTTTTGGTGAAAATATTTACTTGTAACTGACTTGTGCAAAATTAATTTAATAAAATGATACTGAAGTAGAATGTTCTTATTTAAAAAACATTTATTTTTGGTTAAAAAAAAAAGGTTTGTCTTCCTCAAGGCATCAGTTGTCTTTATTCGTGTGGCTCTTGCAAAACTAGATGTCTAGATCCACGGAAATGGCAGAAAACAGCTTCAAGAATTAAAAACTGAATTGACATCATCCTCATTAATTTCTCAGGAAATCAAACTACTAAGGGGTCAGTGTGTTCCTATAAAAAATTAGTAGTTTTACAGTGAACCCTTTTCATTCCATACTGAGGACAGCTAACAGCTCCTATTTTACATATAGCTATTTAATTGAACCTGTTTGTTAACATTTTAGTATTCTTGAAGTCCTATTTTTGTTTTTCAGTCTGACACACCAGAGATACTCAGTTTGGTACTCCATGATTTCTCTAACACATTAGAGGTACAGATGCAATGGAAAGCATCTTTGTTAGAAGTCAGAAACTTCTCCCCATTAAGTGAAGACTACTTTTCTCAAAAATTCAAGTTATGAGTTGAACAGGTCTTACTACAAACAGCCTTACTAGCCCCTCACCCCAACCTTAAGCTTTAACATAAACTGGAGCTTCTTTCTACTCTTATTCACCAACTTCAATTCTACTTAAATTTCTGTCTCCAGCCAGAAACCGGCAATCTGAACAAAAATAAAATTTTAAATTTAAGTGAAACCACATTCTAAAGACACCACTATATATTAGAAATTTGGATCATTATTCAAGGCCACCTCACACAAAGCAAAAAAGATAGCTCAAGGCCAATTCTTTTTCCATTTGCTACCTTTATGTTGAACTGCAGTTGACAGCATACCGTTTGTGCTATCAGTGCCACCCTTATTTAAGCAACAAGTGACCTCTATAGTCAAGAATAAAATATTGTTAATTAGTGACATATTGTTAACAGTACTTCCCTCTATTTGATTCCCACAATGAAATCAGTTTTAGGGTTTATATACTTGTTCGCAACTGAAAAATGGCACAGCTATTCAAATTTCTCCTGTTTGGTTTCAAGTTTTACAGTCCAATTTAAAAAATCTAATTGCATCAAAGAGCCTTCTCAGTTCTCATTACACAAGCATACATAATAAAATAAATGTCAGAGTGTGCAAAAGTTGCTCTCTGTACTGCAAGTTCAAACTCGATCAAACTACTTATGTTGAGTACTTCATGAAACAACACATTAGCAATTCCTAATTATATTTAATGAAGGACGAAAGGCAATGAGGAAATATTCAACCGATCTTGGCAAATGTAAGTCAAACTAATGCAAATTTTTCAAGTTTTTGCAAAAACTGAAAAGCCCCCAACCCCAATATTTTGAAATTTACAGAAAACACATTTTCTGAACTTGCTTCTATCTTAAGCTCTGCTCTGCCATCCATCTACACACAAACTCCCTAATTTCCAACTCTTCAAAACATCTCGTGATAACATCTCCATAACTTCCTATCTAATGTAATATTAAAAACTTCTGTATTTTACTGCTAGAGCTACTTGTCTGTACGCCAGCCTGGAAGCAATGTCCCCACATTTCTGTCAGAGAGAAAAATTGCTATCGGCACAAGATTCAATATCATTCACGCATAATTTTAAAGCTTCATGAATAAGCACTGGAAGTCAATATTAGAACTAGGAGATGTTTAATTTAATGAGAAGAGAAGCTTTAAGCATCAAGTTAGTTAGATTTCTATGACTTACTCTTAGGAAAAGCTTCTCTCTCTCTCTTCAATTAAAGACTGTTTAAAGTTTAAAAACTCCCTGAAATATTTTTTGAAGAATTTTAAATAAAATATTACAAGCATTTGTGAACAAAAATGCAGAAGACAGGGCAATTTCAAAACCAGATTTTAAGAGGAAAAAGAATTGTTATGATTCATGACACCTTTTCTCTGCTAGGATAGAGAAATTTCTAACACCCAAAAAGGGTTTCTGGCCATTTTTATTTATTGAGTTATTAATATAGTTTAATTTATTAATGATCACTCAAATGTTAATAAAAGACAAACTTTAATAAATCTGTTCTGAGCAGTCATTCAGGCACTTCTTACAGAGAACAATGAATTGTATATTTATGTAATATAGACCAAAAACTACAGAATCTAACCAGGGTACAAGTATAAGTATTATTTGCTGGAAAGCCTAGCAAAAAAAAATAAAAAAAATTATTACATAGTACTCACCCTCTTGTTTCCTCTTCTTGTCCTTTTCCTCTTTGCATTTTAATCCACTGTTCCAGCTGCAGCATTGAATTAGTTCTCTGCATAGCTCTCTCAGACTCCATATGTGACTGAACCACGTTGTGCTGACCTCCATCTCCAGCGTCTGCCAGAACACCACCAACAGCTTTATTCTCAGACCCATTTAGATGAACTGGTCTGAAGTGTCCAGCCTGAATCGTAGTTATGGGTAAAGTCCTGTATTCGGATCCCAAAGGATTTAGCTTTACACTGTTAATTTTCGTTAATGGTTTATCGTGCCCAACTTTCTGGAATCCATATTTTTCAGCTTCCAAAGCTTTCTTCTCCTCATTTTTGATCACTTCTTTGTTCTTCTGGTTATTTTGTGCCTCTGGCTTAATTAGCACCCGATGGTTTGAAATATTATTTGCTTCTCGAGGTGGTGTATTTTCAGTGGTTAACTTCTCTACTCTGCAAAGGAATATATGAAAAGCTATAATATCAACAAAACATTCACTAAAAAATGAAAAGTGACTATATTTGTGTTTACCAGGGTTCTTTCAGTGAATCCCTGTCCAGATATTTTACATCAATATCTTGTATTTGAGAGAAAAATCCAGGATACATTTTCACAATAATCAAGGACAGGCTGATTTTTTTTGTTGTTGTTGCTTTGGGGTTTTTTGTTTTGTTTTGGGGTGGTGGTGGTGTTTTGTTTGGTTTGGTTTTTTGGTTGGTTGGTTGGTTTTGGGTTTTTTTAGTTGGACAGTGTGAGTGTTTTTTCTTCCACACTTCTCTTTCTTTGCTATTTTAAAAACATTTATAACACAGCATAAATTTTTTAAGCCGACTTCAAATTAACCCCCTAGAAAAAATGTGCACAAGAGGAAATAAAGCCAGAGTCTGAAAAAGTGGATGTTCAGTTCCTGGAGGGTTGGACATTCAAACAGTAAAAATATTCAGTGCCTCCCCAAGAGCTAAAGCTTCCAGATTGTCAACAGCCTGAAATTCAGACGATTTCTAAAGCCATCTTTAAAAATGGTAGCAGATTACATTGCTGACCAGCTTATGATTCACAATACTGCTGAATTTATCATATAATGAGCTCCTTTAAAGAAAGCAAACAACTTTTCATGGTCACTGGCATCAATTAGGTTTCTCTTGTATGTTATCACTTTGGCTAGCATACATTTTGTGGAAAATAACTGTGGCTTCCCTAATTTTAAGGGGAAAATAGCTGCTGACTTAGGGAACTCTACCACAAAAATAATGATATTTTTAGAACAGTTACTGCTTTATAGTACTTACACAAGTACTCAATGTATGCAGTTCTATTAGCTGTTTTCTTTTTAAAATTTCAAACTGTCAAGAAGCTATAGCTTTTTCCATACTGGGACATGAACTGAACATCCAGCTCAGATAGTGACAGTTTTTTTCCAGTTTATTAGAAAAAAAACCCACAAAAACCCTAAAATGTTTTGATCCACATTTTTTTGTATGGGAGGAAAGAAGACGAAGACATATAATTCTTTAAGATTACATCTCTGTATAAAACCAAACCAAGAACAAAACTTTATTTTAAGATGATGTCAAATTAACCTTTCACACTGTTTTGCATCTTTTTTGCAAATGCATTACTCATCTTTATAACTGTGTCCCGTTCAAGTGCCTAATCCGTGTGTAAAAAGGCCATCACATACACAACTGACCAAGAGCACAAGTATGACCGCTCCTCTGAAAAATGCTCTAGTTCCAAGTAGAGTAACTCCGTACACAGCTGTAAGCATTTTTGCTGACCCAGTCTTTAACACGAGGCTTAAATGTCCAACAAGACATTTGGGACAGAACCCCAGCAAATACATAAAGGACTGAAAACTGTAAGGTCCTTATAAAATACTACCCACTGCTAATAATATCGGACACTTAATTTTAAACGCACCTCCCATTACCACCCTACTCTTGCTATGAATTCTCCATGACGTGAAAGGAATTAAGAGACTCCTGCCTTGACAAGTACACCAGTTCAAACGTACCAGTCAGAAAGAGCAAGACATCAATGTCCTCTGCATACTGTTCATGAGTTAGAATGAAATGCTCATGCACTTTGCATGTTAACAAGAGGTGTGATTTTTTTTCCCCATGCCTCTTCCTGACATAGTGTGATGATCCCAGTCTCTGCTTGATACATCATAATGTTATAAAAGTCCTCCAAAATTCATTCTGTTAATAAGTAGCTCAAAATAGTCCTTTTCTTTCAGTGATTATTCCTGAGCTGCCAACGTGAAAGCGTACACACACGTCAAATGTATTGCAAATGAAAACATTCATACCAATAATCTAACATGATTACAATCATTAATCTAACATTAATCTAACAATAATTAATCTAACATTGTGGTCTACCTGGACTTCAGTAAGGCCTTTGACACCGTCTCCCACGGCATTCTCCTAGAGAAGCTGGCGGCTCACGGCTTAGACAGGTGGACTCTGCGCTGGGTAAAAAACTGGCTGGACGGCCGGGCCCAGAGAGTTGTGGTGAATGGAGTTCAATCCAGTTGGCGGCCGGTCACGAGCGGTGTTCCCCAGGGCTCAGTATTGGGGCCAGTTCTGTTCAATATCTTTATCAATGATCTGGATGAGGGGATTGAGTGCACCCTCAGTAAGTTTGCAGACGACACCAAGTTGGGCGGCAGTGTTGATCTGCTGGAGGGTAGGAAGGCTCTGCAGAGGGACCTGGACAGGCTGGATCGATGGGCCGAGGCCAACTGCATGAGATTCAACAAGGCCAAGTGCCAGGTCCTGCACTTTGGCCACAACAACCCCATGCAGCGCTACAGGCTTGGGGAAGAGTGGCTGGAAAGCTGCCTGTTGGAAGAGGACCTGGGGGTGCTGGTTGACAGCCGGCTGAACATGAGCCGGCAGTGTGCCCAGGCGGCCAAGAAGGCCAACGGCATCCTGGCCTGTATCAGAAATAGTGTGGCCAGCAGGAGGAGGGAAGTGATCGTGCCCCTGTACTCGGCACTGGTGAGGCCGCACCTTGAATACTGTGTTTAATTTTGGGCCCCTCACTACAAGAAGGACATTGAGGTGCTGCAGCATGTCCAGAGAAGGGCAACGAGGCTGGTGAGGGGTCTGGAGAACAAGTCTTATGAGGAGCGGCTGAGGGAGCTGGGGTTGTTTAGCCTAGAGAAAAGGAGGCTGAGGGGAGACCTCATCGCTCTCTACAACTACGTGAAAGGAGGTTGTAGCGAGGTGGGTGTTGGTCTCTTCTCCCAAGTAACTGGCGATAGGACGAGAGGAAATGGCCTCAAGTTGCGCCAGGGGAGGTTTAGATTGGATGTGAGGAAAAATGTCTTTACTGAAAGAGTAGTTAAACATTGGAACAGGCTGCCCAGGGAAGTGGTTGAGTCACCACCCCTGGAAGTATTTAAAAGACGTGTAGATGAGGCGCTTAGGGACATGGTTTAGTGGGCATGGTGGTGTTGGGTTGACGGTTGGACTCGATGATCTTGGAGGTCTCTTCCAACCTTAATGATTCTATGATTCTATGAACATCTCTTTGGCTATATGTGTCAGCATTATTTTTAAACAGTGGTTTTTTTTCCTCATACATCACTATTAAATGCAGAGGTTAGATAAATCTGATGTTTTCTGCTAGCAGAAAGGAGAGGCTAGTATTTCTGCCAACCATAACTTTTAGAGAAAAAAAATCTTGATGTAGAACCAGTTTTTATGTAGGCTTTTGTGGGGAAGGACGCATGTGGTGGAACTGCTATACCTTCATCATCTTTTCTGTAATTTCCAAGTATCAGCAAAGAAATGTTCTGCTAATCTCCTACTGCAATTTAGAAGTGAGGTGTTTTCTTTTGATTTTTTCCCCCCAAGACTTTAAACTGTTCCCAAGACCAAACATTTCTGCCTAGGTTCCTTCTTAAGGTTATGGCAAAAAAAAGGATCACCTCCTCCCTCCCACCTCAAAACTGTACTACCCAGTGTTCTACCACAAACTAAAGGAATGCCCCAAACAGGAAATTGAATGAAAAACTCAATTTCCCACAATTATCAAGTCAAAAAAGGGTGTTAAAATTTCAGTTTTCAGCCAGCGCTCAAGAGTTTACAAATAAATGTAAGGACTACCTTGCAAATAATCCTAAACATGGGCATTAATATATGCAACATGCCTTAATAGTACCACCTACCCCCTTATATAGCACTTTATATCAATCTTTATCAAGGTGCTTTACAGCAGAAAAGCAGTTGCCATTTTACAGATGGAAAATCTGTGGTGCAGAGGGAGCGTGGCATCTCTAAGGACATTCATCAGATAGGTGGCAAAGTCAAGACTGGGCACAGTGTTTGAGTCACACTATCATAGTACTTTCCACTGTAGAACTTAAAAACCAACAAACCCCAAAAATCACAGAGTTGTTTTTCCATGCAATCTCTATGCTGTATCACTTGTTACTATGGTTATACACAGCAGAGCCAAGCATTTATATTTGACATTCTTTGCAATGGTGTAGAGGCTGAACGACTGACATTCAAAGAGACTTCTGGGCTCTCCTTTAACTTTGTGCATCAAATCAGTCAACTCGGTGTAAGCAAGAGATCTCTTTCCACAGCAAAGTACCCAAATGGGAAAGAATGATCAGAAACTAATACATAAATGTAAGAAATGTAAAACATAAATCCATATTTATATTTGGCTCCATATTTATATCAGGCTCTCCAAGACATATACAACAAGACTTGCGTGCTATTTTGAGGATGGGAGAGGGAGAAGACAAAAGAGAATGAGCATTGAACATATGTGTTTCAGCATATACCGAATGCAATTTATGGATTGCTACAACAAAACAGGAATAATATGTATGGAATAGTAATACAGGAAAAGTACTGTTTTCCGCTGTTTTATATAAGTAAATAATTCTGAAAGGGGGGCAGGGGGAGAGGCATGTAATCAAGTATCAGACAGACATGAAGACTGATTTAACAAAGCCAGGCAGAGGCATCTGAAAAGAAAAAGCCACCTTTTCCAAACACAGTGACCTTGGTAAACCCCCACTGTGGATGCTGTTATGCTAACAAGTGCTTTTTTGGCAGCTTAGCTTATGCTGTTCAGGGAGAGTAACTAACACTAGGAGGAAAAAAAAGACCCACTCTTTTCTTAGTACATGCTGCATCACTCAGAAGAAACAAAGGTTCTGGCACACACAGCTGACAGTGAAAGGATAGAAAAGTGATGCTCTTAAACATGGGAGAGTAGAGAAATCAGCATTTAGAGTAAAAATGGTAAATCAGTATGTTGGTGGCCATTAGCACCTACAAACACAAGCAAGCAATCAGTACTCATAGATACAACTTAACTGTGGTCTGCAGTGATACAAGATGAAATGAGAAAGATGTTTTGCTAATCCAGAGAGGTTGTTTGAGATCATATTTTAAGTCATAAGCTTAAATAGTTCCTCACTGACTGAAGTATTGTGTTTAATTATTTTGATAGATCTCTCAGTACATTATTGAACTTGAATTTACTATGTAGGTAAAATTAAAACAAAAATGTTTAGAAAGGAGTAATTACAATTAAGTCAATAGGACCAAATAATATTTGTCCTTCCCTGCAGTTATACATCAGAAGTGAGTTTTTCTGCTATGACTGCAGATCAGTTCTAAAAGAAATGGTTACATTTTTATTTTCTCGCCACAGTATCTCATTTCTGTATTCTGTGGCTAACTATATGTGGAAAGTAAGAAAAATTTTATGGAAAACCAGGCAAAACCCCCACAACTTAATGTTTTAAATATTCCTTTTATCTTTTTTCTCTCTAAGGAACTCACATCCTCAGAAAAATAAAGATACAGATTGTAGCTCTGAAATTATTTAAAGCTGAAACATTCAATTTAACAGACTGTTGGGTTTGGATTTCCAGAGTATCATAAGCAGTGAAGTACCCTGACTTCTAAATTTAGAGCACTATACTGTAAAAACTCTGACTCATCATTTGGGCAATTTATATTAACAAGCACTTAAGAGTGGCTCAACATCAGCTCGCATAAATATTTAAGGAAGTATGTTCTTAATAACTCTAGCTACTGTATCATAAGTATCTAGTCTGTCAGAAAACTGTATTCATTACAATGTTAGAAACTCTTGAAAAAACAGAACTGAGAAACAAAGGCAGTGGCTGAATTTGACTGAACCAAAATCATTTCTGCTTAGAGCTACGTGCATGCCAAACTTTAGGTTACTTAGAGATGAGGTAACACAATACTTAATACTTAACAGATTAGAAGCAGTACTTACAGGAAAGCAGCAGTATTTCTTCTGGATAAGATCATACCCATGGTTCATTTTAAGAACTGGTTTGATAGCCAAAAGATGGATTCTTTAAAAAACATATATATGAAGGACTTTCTTCCTTATTATAGCTAACAGACATGAAAGTCTCTGAGACTTCACTGGTCTTGAAATGTATTTTCTCTCAAGTAAAATACAGTCTTATTTCAAGACTATTAACAAACTTTTCAAAGAGGGTCACATCTATTTCTGTTTTGTCCTAGGGTTTCCTGCCTGAATTAAAACAACAAGATGGTGTCACATAAGTCACTTTCCTTGTTGCTTTTCTGACACTTGTTTTGGCTGTTGGCAAGCCCGTTCTGCCCGTGATATCCAGGCAGAAAACTACTGATTTTGCTGCTGAGTGCTTTTCTACTCATTGAGTGTGCTACACTGACTCACCAAGGAGTAAGATAAGCACCTGAAACAATGCAAGGCAGATTGCAGGAGCACGTATAGCTGGATGAAAAGTGTTAGATAAGCTCAGCGGTATTGGGAATCCCCACCGTTTGCCTATACACTGCCGGACACCTGAAATAGGCAGGCGTCAATGCTGGAACAGGCACTGCGGCTGAAAGAAGGGGGTAGGAGTGCAGAGCCAAGCATTTCGGGAGGCTGGAACACCCTTCACGGCAGTGGACTGCCCACCCATCTTGTTAGAGCAGCCATGGCACTGCAGCCTAGGAAGGATGACTAGCCTGCGAAGCTGTGCCAGGCACCAGGGTAAGCTCACTACGAATCTTGCTAGGCTCTGAGGCAGCAAACCTGGCTGTACAGCTGTATTAGTGAACTGCGCAAAAAAGTGGATATTTACATTACCATTTTGGATTGCTTCTTATGTTAAAAGAAATGTCATAAGTAATAATGTAACATCTGTCTATGTAATTAGTTGTACCAAATATCTTCTATAGAGCATTCACTATTAACAGGAGAGACTATGGAGACACTTATTAAGGAGGCTTTGTCAGATGGAGATGTACTTTTTTCACATTAATTTTTTTCTACTAGAAAGATGTCCTCTTCAAATGTTCAATCTTTACAGTATTGCAAACACCAAATGAAGGTCATTTCACTGGTTCAAAGAGATTCAGAATGCCCACTTCAGTATTATTCCCCCTACGAAGTGCTTATACAATCAATACATGATTTTTGTTTGAAGTTAAGCGGGTCTGATTTGGTTTAATCATTTCTCCATCTGTAAGCTACCACAGCTATCTGCAATACACTTACAATGCGAACCAAAACTGATTTTTCAGATTAAGTTTATTATTCACTAAGCTAAATGGGATATTTTATTTTGACAAGGTAAACCATTCTTTTAAGTGCAATCTCTTTAAAAGCTCTGAACGAAGAAATTAAAAGGTGAAAATGCTATTAAGTATCTACTTGCTTATATTCTATCTCACTCTTCTCATCCCCCATTTTATCTATTGTTCCCAAACAAGAAGAGGGTTATAGGAGACAAAAAACATAACATCTTCATATATAATACGAAATAATACATAATCGGATCAAATTTCATTGTGGTAATTGGACCTACCACTCCTCCTTTCTACAAGCTGAAATCTTATTTCCAGTAATTTTGGGAAAAACAAACATGACAGCTGAGAGCTTGAAGCACATATGTTAGTTTTCCATAGTACGGAGAACAATGTGTTTTTCTATGAAGCTATTTCACTATGCTGTTCAATGCAAAGAATGGAATACTTCATATATTATCTATATACTTAAAGGCTATTAGAGACGAAAGCTAAGATTTCAACCTTTTGTTTAAGATTAGTCGCTAAACGGTTGCACAGGTACAAATTTAAGTGTCCTGAGTTTACAGTTATCCTGAATATCCCATAGATTGGTGTAAGTAAAAGTTTCACTGCGTTTGACTGAGAAGCTCACAAAACATTAACACACTTTAAGACTAAAGGTGTCTAATCATTCTGCATAGTGTCTAATCTATGCTTCTGCCAGCATCATGCTGAAACATGGGATATAGAAATGTGAGGAACAAGTTAACAGGAATGAATTGTACTAGTGATGCAAAATTCAGAAAGACTGCTTGTATTTTGACAATAAGTTCAATGTGCTTACTCTTCCACAAAAATTGTACCTTTTCCTTGTTTGGTATCTATGTCTAAGGAATTTTTTTACCTTTTTAATTTCTTTTTTTTTTTAAACTTAAAATTTCTCAGGATTGCTGCCGTTCATTTAGCTCCTGTGTAGCAGGAACTAACAGAGTGCAGAAGCAGATCAAGTGACAGCAGCCATCAGCAATAAGTTCTGTGCCATCAATAACGAGGAGCTTTTAAGTTTTCCATTGATGGGGTTTCCATTATAGATGACATGGAGGCAACCCAAAGGACAACATTCAGAGAGAAAGTGACTCTTACTGGATAGACAGCAACAGACAATATTCAGTTTCTGAGAACAGAAGGCTTCCAGTGATAACTTGCTTTTCATTGTCAACACATGGATACATAAAGGATATCCAGATCAGGTAAGTATAAATTTGATGACAGCTTAATGATGAACAAGAATGGCTCCCCACAGGTTGCCCATAGGTGCAACTGTTTAATTTAGCCAGAAACTATGGTTGTGAACTTGAGACTTATGACAAGTTAAAGCCAAAGACTACCACCAGTTGAGCTGCTATTGCTGTTCAGTCAGGAGGGCAGGGGAAGTCTAACATGCCTGTACATAGTAGTTGCCATTGCACTTTTGATGCCGCTGGCTAAAGGAACTAGACAAGTTTTTGTCCTCTAGCCCTTTACTCTCGAGGCATCTGTATTCAGAACAGAACTTAAGATTATTTTTACCACTTCAAAATTTTATCCAACATTGTTAAATTAGTAAGGGTTCTTCAATATAAGGAGAAATTACTTCAGCCAATTTACATTCTGTTTTAAGGTATGCCCTTTCATTTAAATAAATCAAACTAAATATGAGGAAGATATACACTGTGCCACTATTTTGAAAATCCACATTACCTTTTCACAGGCTCTGTCTGCACAAGTGCTGCATCTGTCATGGCTTTCATCCACAACTCCATTTCCTTCCCTGTATCTGTGCAGAAATAATAGGTCCTCATGTTTGGATGAGCTGCCTGATTGGAAATGACATGGTCATTGCAATAAAAATGTAAGATTCTGTAAAAGAAAAGAGGCAAATAATGTTACTGTACACTTGCTCTGATGTCTTCTATAATAAGATTTCTGTAAATAATACTATCAGAAAAAATATCGGAAGAAATAGTTCAATGTTTCTCTGTCACTGCATTCATATTTTCAAAATAATTGCCTGTAATTTTCAATCATAGCTGCTTCTTCATTAATACACTCAATAAAAAGTCCTTAAATTTCTTCAGTCTATTAAAAACTATCTTGACTATCCATTAATGTAAATTAATATAATTATTCTAAATAAGATTTTGGCACAGATTTTTGCAGTCTGAATGATACAGTAAGTTTTAATTTGTACTTACCATGGTAAATAAATGTTGTGTTGCTTAGGAGGCCAAAAGAAGAGCCAAAAGGAACTCATAAAAAAAAAGTCAAGAGAAAATATTTAGTAGAGTGATTTATATCATGATTATATCATGATTAAAAAGATTAGCTTTGAAACACTCCTAACAATGTTGTAATATTGTGATTTAAGTGATAATAAAACCTTATTTTTATTTATATGAAAGATACTTCATATCTAAATAACTAAAGAACTTTCACTAGTGGGATAAGTCTAGCCATGGATACAGTTTACAACTTTAACACACCACACAGTATTTAAGATCCATGAACTAAAAATACAATACTAATTCATTCATTTTCTTATTGTAGTAATTATGTCTATATTTACATCAGGCTAAATACCTGAACCCTCTGCTACTGTATTATGCAAAAATCAGTCTCAGAAGCTGTTTGTCAACCCTTTTTTGCATAACAACTCAGTAAAATGAATTCTGTTCACTAGGCTATTGTGCTTTCAGACATAAAATTAAACTGAAAACTTGATTCCCTTACCTTAAAGGCATATTTGCGGTTAATATGGTCCTCAGGAGAAAGCACAGATATCTGAAAACTAGGTAGAAGTATGCTACCTAGTATTCCTTCTTCTTTCTCATCTGTCAATGTATAGTCTTTGATTAGAGAAACAGTATTTTGACACATAATACTTGTATTCAGACCCTTCAGTGAAACTCTATACTTAACACAAGACCAGTAACAAGAAGTTTACCTCGGAAGAAAATGCATTAGAGAATCAGAAAGCCAGACTGATTTGTTACATAGGTGCCTGTATATAGTCTCAGAAGTGTGCAGTCCACAAGAGCAATTGTGCAGTCCCTCTCTGCCAAGATATGCCACAGAACCTGCATCGCACAAGTGCGCGCCCCCAAAAACCTGCTAAGCACTGTGAAATCCAGGCCATTTGAGTATGGCCACCTTCAACTTTTTCCCCAAGATGGACAAAAAACCCTCCTGAGAGTGCCAGCTCTGCAAGTTAAAGTACATGAGCTACCTTATGGAAAACACCACAAATAGCTTCACCTAGAGTTTTTCTGGGGATCAGTGCTTACCTGCATACAGTTTTCAACTTCAAAGCTGAAAAGCAGATGGAAGTCAAGCCTCTAATTCAGCGACAAGAACAATACCTGCTATCTACTGCCTGTGCAGTAAAACTTGCCAACACCCATGAGAGCAGAAGTATTTTAAAATACTGTTTATGATTGTTGGTCTTTGAGAAAATTTGCACATTCCCCATCTGATACTGGGCATATTAAGCTACGAGATTGTTATAATTCCCATGAACAGTTTACACTCAATTACATTCTGTTTGTAAGAATGCATATGTTTCAGATCATTGGGAAAAAAAAAAAAACAAAACCAACCAAACAAACAAAAATTCCCCAAACCAAACACCCTTTATTGACAACATTGGTTTTTTGTAAAATTTTAGAACAATACATTACAATAATAAATTGGCATTTTAATTGGAAGGAACAACCAGCTCTTAAATCCGATTATACTTTAATAAAGGAATAATTGGATGCAATTGACAAAGTCAATCTTAATTGTATTTCAGATACAGAACTTCTATTCACAACCAGTATCTTAGGAGACTATCCCCCATAACACTTCTCTTAGTTGAAGATACTGCCCACAACAAATGACTATGTATCTATGAAATTAAGATGAAAACAGATATTCCAAAGTTTTAAACACAGAAAATTTATACTGTTACAATTAAAATACATGTAAACAGCACAAAAGGACTACCTCTTATACCCGGATTTAAAAATCTTTTCCCAGTTCTTGTTTACTCACAAAATTCTGAAAAGCCACAACTTAAATGGAAGTTATTCATATGGGGAAAGCTCTGCCCAGCCACACTAGTGTTACATAGTATGTTAGATGTAAAAATTATGCTTTCTTGGATAGTTATTTAATTGGAGAACTGAGCATAAAATTATCCTGATTAAAAGGTAGAAAAAGAAATTAAGGGAGTAGATTTACTTTCAGGTACTCAACTGTACTCATAAGTATGCCTGAAACTGTCCCATCTCCCCCTCCCAAATATTTACTCCTTGCTAGCCACACACACACACAAAATTCTGCCTTTTTTCCCCCCTGTCCCAGAATGCACGGCAAATGTTGGGGTTTACTTTATTTGGACTGCTGTTTTGGGGAAAAATTCCCTCCTCCTGCTAGATTATACTCTGTTTTATGACTAAGTCACACCACTAATGCCATATAAAAGCATTAAGCATTTTTGTTCCACTGAACAGCTGCATGTCTGGAGGACTTTGGTCTTTGTTAAAGACATACTGCTACATTCCATTTCCAGATTTTAAAAATCTGTTTCCCATCAGACTAGCTTTTATCTACACATTACACTGCCCCATACCCATCTTTACTTGTATGCTGTGCATGAATAATACAAGAGAAAAACAGCAGATCTTCTGTCCAGCACTAAGATCTTTTATTTGTTGCAACAATAACACTCCAATATGAAAGCAGGCAGTCTGTTATCCCTCCGTGAAACAGAAAAAGAGTATTCTCTAAGCTCTGAAAAAATACAATGAAATAATTTTTCCTTTCATCTATAAATCAGATTTAAGCTGCTAACATTGTAACACAATTGTAAAAGTTCAGTAAGATTTACTAACAAAACCACAAAACAACCCCAATAAAACTCCAACAACCACAATCGTGCAACCAGAAACACTGTTTGTGATCTGGGAGTAAGTGCATGGCTCCCCCCTTTCCATTTTTTCAATATCTGAGACAGAATTAACAAAAACATAAGAGCACAGGGTTTAGAGTGCAAGTTTTTTATATTTTAGTAGCCGTTTCTAATACCTTTAAGACTATCACTATACATGTTTAATTACAGTTTATCAGCTTTAACTGCTTTCTAGTGAGTGATAGCTAAAAGCTAAGTTTATCATGTAAACAATTTAGACTATTCTGCTTGTATTTCAGTTTATTTGGCACACTAACATGTAGAAATGAAAAAGTAAGATTATAGAGCTGTTTGGATTTATTTTATTTGTTGTTGGTTTTCCTTACTGCTTTTTTATTTTGAGATACTTCACGTGCAGTGCTTTAAGTCAACTTAATCTGTTCTTAAGGCAGCTACAAAGCAGCACTTTCTTTAGAACCTTTGGAGGAGAGAGCCTGAAGACTTCTTTAAAATAAGAAAACCCTATAAGAAAGCACAGAGTATACAATGATCACTTAACTAAATGCAGCGTAACTGTATTGCAATCGATGCCTCCATGACTGAAATTATAGCTTAATTTTGACTTAGCAGTGGTTTACCCAACTATGTATATTCTCGGGGTCAAGGAACAAAGCCTAATGACTGTATTTCAAGAATTCAGAATTTGTTAACTAAAACAGTTACAAACAGTTACAGAGCTTTTATGTTTCATGACCTGATTTGTCTTGATAAGATTAGAACCATGCTGCACTTTAACAGAACAGCATTTTAAATTCATCAGTCATGGCTCACCAGCATCAACACCACTTCTACCACTTCTAAAGTCTCATCCTAAACTGAAACCCTTTCTTACCCTTCGTCTGCAGTTAAGGCAGATTTATTTTCCTCTATTTTGCCATGCTTAACAATCTTCTTCGCTCTTAGCTTCCTTTAAACTATTACTTTTGTACACCTTATTTCAGGATTGAATAAGTTTCCATACGCACAAATCCCATTGTTTATTCCCCCAGGAGGACTACAGTTAATAATCTGTCATGGTGAAGGAATCAGTTTTCTAACATACATATCTCCAGACTAGAATTATAACCAGCTAACTTTTCCCATGTAAAACAAAAGTCTGATGTAGCTACATAAGGGTACTAACAGATTTCTTTGTTCCAAATACAGCAGAGACTTCTACTCATATGGAATTGCACAACGTTTCACTTTATAAGTATTCATGAATGCTGATTAGATTCCCAAAAGGCATATATATCCTCTTTATCATTCCAAAAGCAGAGTTTCAGCTCCCCTGCACTATCCCTTTCCTATCCCCATTTCAGTTACTTAATTTGCATGAAAAATCAGATTTAACCTGGCATATCTAGTTCCTAGCAACAGAAGCAGTGAGAAAACTACAATCCAGAATTTAATAAAAGAGGTGGCTGTGAATGGGTTTGCCCTTTGAGCATACCTGACAGGCAGGAAGCAATTATGTGAAATTGGTAATTAAGAAAGAAAAAAAAAGTAGCATGCCTGGATATTGACAACTATACAGATATTTTAATCCATTAAGTTAAGTAGCAGCTTCTTATTTCTTACATTTGAGTGGTGTGGCAAAATTTATCTGCTTCCAGTAAAATTAGCAAACGAAGCTCTCCTGAGTGGAACTTACCTCTGTAATAGAAGAGACACAGATCTGAGAGCACAAACCACCGTTTCTTCCACAACTTCATTCCAGTACTATCCTGTATTAATCGAAGTGATCAAGTAAGAATTTTCAGACTGTTAATAGTAATAGTTCATAAAGTAAACCAGGTACTACCTAACTGTGGTGGTGTGCTAGTAGTTCATTTTCTTGGCTAAGACATTTTAAGTATCTTTGACTTCTCATGACAGACTTGACACTGCAAACAAAGATCATAACCCAGGAAGCCTGAAGTTAACATGATTCGGGGATAAATAAGAGCCCATTATTTTAGCATGCTAGAGACTACAATCTACAGTTAACTGAAAAAATGTATACTTTTTTTAAAAAGGAAAAGAGCAAGGTAATACTTGGGGTACATCCTCCTTTGTTTTCTGAACTGAAGTTCTGCTGAACTTCATCTTCTGCTACCACTCATATATCTAAGGCAAATTTATTTCCCAAATAAAGTTTATTCCTAAAGCAATTTCATTTTCTTTTATGCTTATAACCAATTTACACTGCACAACTCAGAATGAAAGACTGTCACCACTACTAGAGTGTAAATAATCCAGAGCATTGCAGCATGCGCATCCTAGTAGAATCAGATTTAATAAATATGTTAATCTGTTCCATGAAGAAAAGTACATGTGAATTATCAATATTCCTGTAGTAAACAGGTTCTGTGACAACCTAGAAGAGGAATTCTGTAAGGAAAAACTGTGGGGTGGGTTTGGTTTTGGGGTTGTTTTGGGTTTTTTTGAGAAAAGTCAGCATAATTTTTAGCCTCATATTTCAAGCTCTGCTCTTTTTGGGGTGGGGGAAATGAACTGCAAGAGGGAGAAGAAAGGGTAAAGCAAGCATTAGCTAGGAAACATTATTCAGAAAGAGTTAAAAAATCCTTTGCCACAAACATTTTCATAAATAGAATAACTAAACACTTCATAGCACCTTCCTTCTGAGGACCTCAAAGTGGTTTAACAAACACTAATGAAGTCTGGAAGCATCGCCCATAGCAGTCAGCTCCTATTTCACAGCTGGAAAGGCAGACACGAGGAGAGGAGACCTCCTTCCTCACCTCAGTGACAAGGTTACTGACTCAGTAGCGGGTTAGGACGCTGGACCCCTGGCCTAAAGGACACTGGCCATAAAAATCAACTGTACAATGTGAAAATACCCAAACTTCTTCAGTATAAAGGATTATCACAAACCCTTAGACAGACTTTCTGAAGAGGCTGTTATGCAATGTCACATTTATCCCATCACTCAAAAACACCAACAGGTTTCTATATGGCCACATGTAAAATTCTGCCAGCAGTAAGACACACTAAGAATGATCTTTTGGCCTTCTTCAGACATAGCAGAGAGGCACACAAAACAGTTGTGTGGTTCTCATATTTTAAATTCTTTCCTACTTTAAAGTACATCCTTTCTTTATCATTGGATTTACTAATTATTGTTTCCTCTTGATTGTGATTGTCACAACATGGTAACAGTATGTTGACAGTAAACACCTTCCAAAAAGAGAGTTCACTCTGGACTTAAAAATTAGTAGAAGAATGACAGAAGAATACCATTACATGCAATGAGACAGCACACCCTGAGTCAAACAAAACTTGCTGTTCTCTGTGTTTACATAAACATGTTAAGAAAGTTATCTTACTATCAAAAAGAAATCTGCACAAGCTTTCACTGTAATTTTCTGAAGATAGTATCTATTGGTAAAACTCGACTAAATTGGCTTTCAACTTGACTAAACTGACTACAACATGGAAACATACAGCAACCCCTTTTCTTACAAAAACCAATCAAACATCAGCGCATTTAAATAATTTTACACATAAACCCTGTCCAATGGTATGCATTTTGACAGTGAGGTGGATTGAAAACTGGTTGAACTACCAGGCCCAGAGAGTGGTGATCAGCGGCACCAGTGGTGGCCAGTTGCTAGTGGTCTACCGCAGGGGTTGATACCGTGGCCAAGACTATTTAATATCTTCATTAATGATCTGCACACTGGACAGAGTGCACCCTCAACAAGTTTGCAGATAATACGAACTAAGAGGAGTGGCTGATACACCAGGTGGTTGCGCTGTCATTCAAAGGGATTTCGACAGGCTGGGAAATTGGGCAGAAAAGAATCTCATGAAGTTCAACAAAGGGAAATGCTCAGTCCTCCATCTGGAGAGGAATAACCCCATGCACCAATACACACCGGTGCCGATCAGCTAAAACAGAGCTCTGTGGAGAAGGACCTGGGGGCTCCTGGTGGACAACAAGCTGATCATGAGCCAGCAATGCATCCTCATGGCAAAGAAGGCCAACAACATCCTGGGCTGCATTAGCAGTGTTGCCAACAGATGGAGGGAGGACATCCTTCGTCTCTACTCAGCACTACTGAGGTCTAGCTGGAGTGCTGGGTTCAGTGCTGGGCTCGCTGGTACAGGAGAAACATGGACATACTGGAGTGAACCCAGCAAAGGGCCACAAAGATGATTAAGGGATTGGATCATCTTTCACATGAAGAGAGGCTGAGAGAGCTGGGACTGCAGTCTGGAGAAAGGGCAGCACAGGGCCATCTTATCAATGTTTATAAATACCTGATGGAAGAGTATAAAGAAGATGGGGCTGAACTCTTCCCAGTGGTGCCCAGTGACAAGAGGCAATGGGCACAAATTAAGAAACATGAAATTCCACCTGAGCAGAGGTAAACTTTTTTTACTGTGAGAGTGATCAAACACTGGCACAGGTTGCCCAGAGAGGTTGTGGTGCAGTCTCCATCTGTCAGAATATTAAAAACCCGGCTGGACACAGTCCTGGACAGCCTGTTCTAGCTGAGCCTGCTTGAGCAGGGGAGGTTGTGCAAGATGATCAAGAGGTCCCTTCCAACCATTATAATTCTGTGATCTTAAAATATAGCTACTGTTTTTTCATTAGTAAAATAATGTAATTGTACACTAAAATGGACTTGGTAATATGAACATAGAGTATAATTTTTAGGAAAGCAACATCTTTGTACTACTTTATATGCTGAATATCCATGGTTTGATGTGAAACAAGAAAATTAGAACAGCTAGAATCTTTAGAGCATTCCAGTAAGTTAGTTCAGGTACATAACCGTATCTTTTCATACATGTGAAACTCACTAGAAAGGACCTCAGAATGAAAAGCCAGATCATCATGAATAACTTATTCAGAAGTAGGCAGCAAAGATAACATAGCACAGATACTCCTGTGCACAACCACCTGTGCTATAATTCAGACTTCATATTTTAATCAAGTTAATTGATTGTCTCATTTAATTAAAAAATCCAGAAAACATTATTTCAGGAATAGAGTGACTTTTTTCCAAGCTAAAAAGTTTAATAGCCCTAAAACAAAGCAAAAAAAAACCCTCTCACCTTTGTGACAACTTTTCACTCTCAACATTGAATGAGAGTAGAGGCCACAAGAGTATCTAAACATGGAAAAATCTTCTACTAAACAGATACTTCCAAATCTTTTTATCTCATAGTAATTTCTGAAAACTGACTCATCAACAGCTTCTAGAAAGCTACGTGGGTCATACCAGTCTATCAGAGTAGGGACAGTAAATGACACCGTAGATACATATACATATTTGCCTCAGCTGAGTTTAAATGACAAGTTCTTACAGGGTTCTTGGTGAATTTATAAAATATATTCCTAATATGGCCTAATCAGTTTTTTGTTCAATTTTTTGATCAAACTACTTTGATTTCTTGCGGAGCAAGAAAGTGCAAGTGGTCTGGTATTGCAGAACAGCGAACCTACAGCAGGCTAGGTACGCTGTCACTAAATACTAAAAAGCACATACTTCAGATTAGTTTAGATTCAATAGGAAAACCTAAAATGATCTCTGGTTTTAAGATGGTCATCTTTGAGTTAAGAAAACAGGCATTCCTCTGTCTTTTCATATGTGAAAAAATTGCTTGATTTCCAATTTATTTAAAATATTTACTTACTTTTTTAAAAAAAAAATAAGAGATACAGCTTAACAAAAGAAACTTCAGAATTTAAAAAAAACAATACGCTGGGCCATACATCCTTGTCCCATCATCTCAACATGCCTGAAATTCGTTCAGCTATTTACTATGAACTTCTGCCTAGAGTTTTCAAGTATATTTTTCTTGTGTATTTTAGAGAAAGATATGTATAAATAATATATCAATGTTCTACACTAGTCTGATGCTTTTACTCATTTGTATCAGAATGGTATCCAATAAGTAGCTAATTAAAATACCATGTGTCAGTTCCTCACAGTTTATAGCTTCACTCTGGTCTTGCTATCATTGTATTTTATGTAAATGATTGTCTTTTGTACATTACACACCTTACAAAAAAAAAAAAAAGAAGGGGTTGAAAAGGGGAAGAGTACCTGTTTGTAGAGCCAGCCACGTCTGACAACTGGTGCATTAGGATTTCTCTTTATTGAGTTTGATCTCTTTCCGAAATTATGAACCTTCTTTGAAGATCGTGATGTCTAAATTGAATTGAACAGGTTAAAGAAAACATGGCATCAATACCTGTTGAAGAATCATAGCACATTTTCTTTTCTTTAAGATCTTTTTCTTATACATGTTCCTCTGGGGGATTGCAGAATACAAACTGTATTTCTTTTTTAGGCAAATAATTATTACTATGGTTCTGCTGCCTTCAGCATTTCTTTCTTTTTCCTCTGCAGAAAATTTAAAAGACAAATCCCAAGACAAGTACTTAAAGCCTTTTTTTAACAAGGAAAAACAACCAAATACATATCTGACCTTCTTATAAGGTAGGTAGAAAGCCTACCAAGCTGTAGAAAGAGAAGTAACACTAACAGAACTATTATTAATTATGAAAAATTACATCACTTGGGCAAGAACATTCTACTCTTTCCAGCTTCCAACACCGGCTTAATACATGAAAACTTGTTCAGATTTCAACAAGATATAATTCTCCCTTTCCTAGCATATACTAACTTTTTTTTATTCTTTCTTCCCCCTCAAGAACCCTTCGCTTTATGATCTCTTGGCTGGTTTGAATATTCATTATTTTACCTGCTTGGACTAAGGCCTACTTTAAATCTTTTGCTTTGAAAATCCAGCGCTTATATCTGCTGCTGCTTATACCTTTGACAACCTTACAGCTATGCAATGATCGCAGATGATTAAGAGAAGTAGGACAAATAACCCATTTTAGATTTTATCCTACTTGAGTAACCAAAAGAAATTGGAAAAGGCATAAAGAAATGTGCAGTGCTCTACCAATTCACACTTCATTCTTTTCAGCCTACATTTAGAAAGTTTGTTCTGCAACTAAATAAACTGAACATTTACTTGTGTTTTAAATTCTGTAAGAATGAGTGCCTCAGAGACCATGTGATGTGATGCAGCAAAGTACGCCACTCCACAAAAGATGTAAAGTTCAAATAAGTTTTTTAAGCTGTGTTCATGGCTCTGCTCCAAATCTGCCATTTGAATTTAGACAATATAATCCTGTGCTTCAGCATCCCCATCTCTACCACTGAGACTAATCATAAGGTTATGCAAAGTTCCTAAAGGAGGAAGGCTAAATAAACACTCGTTTTTTGTTGCAAATTAGAGTATGGGGTTTCTCTACGGAAATTCTCTCAACACGCATCACAGAGCTGAGTTGGGTTTTATACATGCTTCAGAGAGAATTCCACAGTAGGTTAACAATCATAAACTGAAAACTGCAATTTAAAATGACGTGCAGCTTTTGTCAATGACACCATTAACTGAAGAATACAACATAGCTTAGCCAAAAAAGAATAACATTACAAAAACTATGTGTGTTTGTCGTAAGTCTACAACACAATGAAACAAGGTTGTTTTGTATTTCTTTTTTGAAAGAATCAGGAGGGAATATAAAAACAATCAGAGTGCTTTTAATTTCCCTTGGAGATACAGAAATTTGACTCAACTCTGTTTGGAAAGCAAGATACAGCAAACAATTGAAAATCTAACTAAAAATAAAAGCAAAAATCTTTCACATTTTCATCTGAAAAATTCTACCAGTGCAAAATGGACAAAGGTTTGTAAGAAGTGAAGAGAATTATGACATCCAGCTGTAAAAAAGAAATATACAGAGAACCTATAACAATCCAGAGCACATTATCAAGTTAACTACATCAATCTCAGTTAACCTGTATGGCTACTATATTGGCATATCACACAAGAGCTGTGCCAAGATTTTGATCAGAAATAATTTATAACACTCATACCTGCTCTAATATTAGGTATTAAAGGTTCAAAACCTCTCAAGAGTGTTCCAGACTTCCTATGCTTGTAAAATGGCTAATGCATTAAGGATGCTTCTGAAAACACAACCAACCACAAGTACTACTAATGTCAAGTCTACTAACAAATTCAGATAAACTAGATAGACGTACCTATCTCTTAGGCAGGTCTGATAACAAACCCTATTGACTCCAATTTCACTGAACTCACAGCAAAGTTTTAATGGGTTACATCTTACCAACTGTGAATACAAACTTCCATTAATTAAACAGAGCATCACAAGTGCTTTCTATTTTTAGTTAATACAGAAAACACTGTAGATGACTCATGATTATTTTACCACATACTGCATAAAGAGAATAACTGTTCACAACAAGTTCTGAGCTGCGAGACAGTAAGTATTTTAGGATATTGAAATATTGTAGGTGTATATATAAACTAATTATGAGTTCTCAAACTTTTTAGATTACCTCCTCCTCTTGTTATGTCTGGGATACCTGGCCATCCCATGTTCTCTCACACATGTATCTAATATATCTCAAATTGGGGAAACAGGAAGAAAGGAAAAAAAAGAGAATTGAAGGGTTCAAATACTTTTTACCCCACAGCTCTAAAAAAATATAAGACATATTGCACAGCTCCAGCTTCTGGAGAAGGCAAAGAGAAAAGGAGGATAGTGAATGAAGGGTCCAACTACTAACCACTTGGCAGAAGGCGTAGAAGGTAACAGAGCTAGCAAACTTAATAGTCACATCTGGTACCATCTGGCCCGTTCTAAGGAATGGTCCCAGCAACTGTGATGCCTCCAAAACCAGAACCTACAGGACCCTGTGCAGTTCCAGTACTGAGAAGGAAGCCAGGAAGTCCAGCCATTGATATTTACTCTTTCCTAAACCTGAAGAAAATAAACACCAGCAGGGTTTTGAACTCTGGGCAACAGGTCAGTCAGTAGCTGGGGCTGCACACTTCATCACTCTGAAAGCTGCTCTTCTCTCTGCTTAGCTGGTAGAGGACACAGAATCTATGTGAGGCTTCTTCCCCAGTTTCAGAACTATCACAAAAGTAATTAATTAACACCAAACTTATAGCATCTATATTTGAAAAACATGGATTGAGAGCCTTGCTGATAAGGAAATTTTCTGCATGTGAACTCAAAGAATGGAAATCTAAATCTTTGTTACTTTCAACTTCTGTTTAAAAATATGTTTCCAGACTTCAAGGCTTATATTATCTCCCAAACCACAAACCAACATGATGCTGCCTTCTGGATTTTGTAGGCAATTTCAGTGCCTTCCAATGTTGCAGTTTTCCATGAGCTGACTGGGTTTCTGCCTCAGCATTTTAGCTTGGACCAGGAGGTTGCTCTTGAAGCAAATCTCCCAGTCATTCACTCTTACTGTGCTTTGGTTTGCATAGTAGAGCAAACTGGATTTATTTTAGATAAGACTAAAATGTAAGATGCACAAGGAGCACTACTGGACTAGTCTGAATATAAACCATGAAAACACAGTAGAGATGTTCGGTCCTGAGCACCAATACTGCCCTTCACATTGCTCCTGTTTACTATGCTGTTTGCTGATGTATCTCATGACTTACTCCAAAATTTCCGGCTAACCTGAATCCTGAGAAGACTTGTATGGCTATACTGAAACTAGCCGTTTAAACAAACTGATGAATATTTATAAACAATTTGATACATCCTAGCTGTAATGGAGACACGAGGAGCTCTGTAGCAGCTGTCCTGGGCTATCACTCCATTCCACTTACTGTGAGAAAACTGTTAGCATTATTCTGCTGATAACCAGGACAGCAATGCAGAGCAGGGGAGATGAACTGTGGAGAGTGACTGGTAACATGACTGACACTACACATGAAAAAGTTGATTCCCTGAATGCATTTCAGGACATATTTGTCTAGGTAATGATTTTAACAGCAGGGAAAAAAATAAAATATAAAGGAAGACAACTACAAAAACAAGTTCTTAATTTTAAAAAGAGGGGTGGAAATATATACCTCTGTAGCTACCTCAAGCCTATGTAGATTTTTTTCACAGTCAGAGGTCTGTGCTAGTGGCTTCAAGTTCAGACATACAGTTCAAGCTAATGGGGAAGAAGCAGCACTTAACAGAGCTGTAGTGTGTTATTTGGCCAGCATCACGTATATAGTGGGAAAGGAGGATTAAAATAAGACTTTTACTGGGGAGAGAGTGATTTTTACCTCACCTCATATTAGCCCCTAGACAGCAGCAGCATTAGACTCCAGTGAGTCTTTCTGCCACCAAATAGAAACTTCTCCAAGTTCCATATCTATTTGGGATCAATAAACATTACTGAAAGGGAGAACTTATTTCTATACCACTCATCTGTCTGAAACTTTAGTTGTACCACAAACTTTTCTTCCATTCCTCATTACCTTCCAATATTAGGTGTGTTCATGAATTCTCTCTGAAAACAGAAACACCTAAAAAATAGGTGTGGCAACCACATGAAGCATTCTTCTTCTCTGTAATATACTTTCCTCACCAATATTTTACTCCTCTTTTATTGTGCTGCAATACACAGAGCCTCTACATATTATACTCAAAGGTTGATAAGACAGCTAAGAATTTCAGGTTCTACTGTTGGGAGATATCAACAATAAAAACTTTGAAGAAAATTAGTTGTTGTATCCAGGTACAACCAGTGGGCAATTTCTATATAGTTATGTTTAAAAAGGATTCAACTCATTAGCCTTAAGTAACCACCAGAAAATGCTGATTAATATTAGCTGTGGTTCTACTTTGCAAGCATTCATCTCCTGAAAACAAAACTTTTAAAATGGTGTTGCAGTAATTCAGACAAATTTACATTTGAAAACTGATGTACAGTAACTGCACATACAGTCACAGTAATCATATTAATATTTTAAGTGCATTTAAATAACTAGAACAGTCAGGATGAAGGAAAAGTAGAACAAAAGTCTGTTTTTTCAAAATATAATAATTTTCACAGGAAGCTAAAGTGTCATCACTCAATGAAAGTAAAGAAATTACAATAACTGGGCCATAGCAATCTCAATTTCCTTCTAGAACACTATGAAACAAACACGCTAAAGGGCATTTTAAACTTCTCTCTTGAAAGAGGAGTGTGAAAAATATGTTTGTAAAACACGTGTTCCTAAATCGTAATTAATTTCCTACATTCAATCTGGGAGCGCTTCCTAGCTAGTTCTGTTGTAACTCATTTTCTGTGTAACTATTGCAATCTATGTCACTATTACAGCTCTAACAATAAGTTACCTTGGGTTTTTCGCTTGCTTGGTTGTTTTAGGGCTTAGCTGGTTTTGGGTTTTTCTGTTGTTGTTGGGTTTTTTGTTTTGTTTTAAATTGGCTTTCCTGCATGGACTTAAACATGATCATATGAAAGTTGAAATTATGGATTTTGTTATTGTTTATAATTCATCTGTGACTATTTTTCCCCCCCAGCAACAGGGATAGGTTAAGACGTTTTTCTCATTAAATAATAGTTTTCTAATGTAGGTCAAGGATTCTGCCTGTCTAATGAGACATTTAAAACAACAAAAAAAGGTTTCCAAAATGCACTTAAAGAAACCTTACAATGTTTATTACCACATGGAAAATAAATTATTTCAATCCAAATTTCTGAAATTAAGGAATTTCCTCAGTTATTTCAAAGTTTATTTTTCTCTTGAAGGCTGGATTAATCTGCTGAAAAGCACTTCTCAATGTTAAAGTTTTCAATGACTAGCCAAAGTATGGGGTTTTTTTCCTTGTTTAAATGTTAACTGCTGGGTAGAAAAGGTTACAGGGCTATCATCACTGATCAAAGTTGTTACCTCAGTGTCCTAGCAAACTTATGGAAATTCTTAATTTTGTAGCAAGTGCACTTTCCTTTTATGAAAGCTGTCCAAAAATGGAAAAAATGCACGCAACAGCCTCATCAGACTTATCCAATAAACTTAAAGTAGATATAATTGAATCCATCACCTCGATAAACATCTGGGCATTTACCTTAACCTTCTGAAAAGCTGGGTGAATGGAGAAAGTGGGACACAAATTCAGGTGGCCTAGGAACCTCCAGGACTTTTCCCAGGAATTTTTTCCTAGGAAACCAGGACTTCTACTTCTGGTCCAATGACAGCAAATGATGTCATCTGCCCTTTAATTTTACCACAGGGTCACCTTCCATCTCTCTTGTAACTACTTGTTATACACAATTACAATTCTCTGTATTTTACTTGAAGAAATCTAGTCAATTGTTTGCGTATCGAGCAATTTCCATAACAATGCTTACCCAGATGTCTCATCAGTCACTCAAGATTTTGCTCGTTCACACCGATTAGAAAGGTCAGATTCTGTAAACAATTTAAGTATGTGCAAGTCATAAGATCTGAGATACCTGATAAAAATTACAGCTTCAGTGATAAATTGTTTCAGACACCTCAGTTTTTGTTTCTCTTTTTCAATGGAATACTAATATAAAGCACTGTCTAGTACCTTGTGGAATAACTGAATGATTTTAATTTTAATTTAATTTGGACATAAAGACTTACTCTGCCCACAGGGCTCATTGGATGAGCAGCATAATCTGATGTCAGATTATAGTTAGTTGCTTCACATATCATGCTTACTGGTCGCTCCTTCTTTTCTTCAGATGTCATTGCTGCAGCAGTCCTGAAAATAGAATATGTAATAGCACTAGAACATGCTGTGTGCAGACTGCTATTAAAAAGCACCCCTAGATGTAGCCTAATACAGCCTGTGTTCTACTTTTCCAATTTGAGAGCAATTCACACTTCACTGTAAAGTTACCTGCACTGTGTTTTAAACTTAAATCTATTACAAATGAATTTTAAGATGTTTTAAAATAGGAGGTGTTGGTGGGATGGAAAAGGACAGGTATGAGCATGAGATGGAAATGGGAAGAAATGCTCTCCAAAGACCCCATACGGCTTTGTCCCACTTCAGTGAGAACATGCACGTTTGTGAAGTTTCACATATTGCAGTCCTGACGGTTTTCACTCTAGCTGACGTATAACGTGTTGCAGCAATGGTGGCGAGTAGGACACCCAATACCCAGCCACATATAAAATCCTGAGGTCAGGTATGACTTGCATGCATACCTTCTCATATTGTTGTGTATTCTACAAAACTAATGCAAAGATAGCAAAACCAACTTATTATCCAATGATTCAGAAAGCGTCTCAACTGGCCAAGGAAACAACCGATTCAGGAGAAACTATCAGGCAAAATACAATAGATTAAAGGCATGTGATTGTCCCTAAGTGATTAAAAAATTTATTCCTTTTTGGAAGTTTATTAGATTATTATATATGTCATTTGCTAACACTACAGAATAAGTAAAGTGACAAGTGGAAATTCACACAGTGCATAAACACAGTGCATTTCTATCATGTAACTAATTTGGGCTGTGGTTTTTACCTTAAAAATTAGTATTAAATATTTAATATTACTTTCAAATAATTTAAACAAGTAAAACTTTATACATGCTAATCTGACTTGAAAAAAATAAATATTGCAATTAGCAATCACTGAATCTTACTTCAATATTAACAAGTTTCAAAACATAGATTTTATAGACTGAAACAGATGCCACTTACTGTTCATTCACAACAAAGATACAGTTGTCCTGCGATGGCTGTCCTGTTACTGGATGTTTGCAGGTTACTTTTCGTTCATTATGACTGTGGAAGAGAGATAAAGAAAATTATTAGGCAATAATTTTTTTATTTTCCAACAAGTATATAAATCCAGTACATTGAGTATATCAGCCCAGTGAAAACTATTATGAATATTTCATTACAGCATATAACAATGTATGTATATATACACACAAATGCATATATATATAAACCAATAAAAAGGATGATAACAAGTATTAAAGAATCTTCATTAATATTCTGGACAGAGATGGAAAACATTGGCACTGGGTTGGTAATGTTTTTGAATTTAAAAGCTAGAGCAGTAAGAGTGTTACTAGTTCATATATGATCACCGACAATTCACTTCAGCTAAGACTTCATATATTCACAAACAGGATCTCAGCTAGACAGGGACAAGTTAAACGTAAGACATAAACAACTGTTCTGTAGGGATAAAATAACAGTACAGTAAACACAATTGTCTTCTAGCTTAGAACATGAAATTACTCGTTTAAAATTTTCCGATAATACAGATAAATATCCAGCGATTGGAACAGAGTGATGCATTGCAATCACAGCTCTACTTTTGCTGGTGACTTTTTAATTTAGAGTGCTACTCCCCTGCAGCATTGTTCTTGGGCATACCTTCAAGTGGCAGGAAGCCTGCCAGCTGAGGGCTTCACCCTCATCAGCACAAACTGCTCACTTTGCAGTGTCTCCTTCCCCTGAACTGCAGGTGTTGCTAGATCACAGCAGCTCCCACAATTTGGAAGAAATTGCCAAAATTCAACAACTATCAGCTGCTGCCACTCAAGAAGGAAATGTTTTGACTTGAGCCCTCCAGCCTTAGAGGGGAAGAAAGAGAAGGGGAGGAGTTGCCTTTACTGCCTACCAGATGTCTGTGCACTGACGAAATTTAAACCTGGTTCAGCGATTACAAAGCATACAAGCAGAAATCAGACTAAGAAAGGGCAATGGTAGAGAATGCAGATGCGCTATTTCGATATAACCCACACGCTTCAAAACAAACTCACCTCTTCTGCTTTTAACACTTCAAATAATATTTAAAAGCAAAAAAGTATATAATGCAAAAAAAACCCCAAACAGTATCTGAAATCAGCACTGTAATTCATGAAGAAAGTAATTCCATTTGATAGCAACTACTTTTGCAAAGAATATGTGATGATAATCTTTCCCATGTAAGGTATCTTATATAATACTACGCCTTTCTTATCACAAGTTCAGCCCTGAAAAATATTCTTGGACAGAGAACAAACCTGGACCAAAAAAAGAGTGCTTTATTTGCAAGATAGCAGAAGAGGTGCAGAACAACGAAAGATTTGAATGGCACTTTATCCAACACCAATTTCTTTTATTGCCTATTCGTTTAACCTTCTTAGCTTTCAGAACTATGAAGCACAGCTCATCTCGCAAATGTTACGCTCTCTACCCTTCCTGCTTCTTAAAACAACCTAGACTTAACAAAACTATCTTAAAATTCCCCAGGTTTCTTGAAAAATCCTTTGGATCACAACATTTTGCAATTATGGAGCATTACTAATTACGAGTTACCTCCAAACAAAAGCTTAATAGAATATTCACACTACTCTTATGGTCAATGGGTAGTTGGATGAATCTGCATAAATCTAAAGCACAAGATTAGAAAGATAGCCCAGTTCTTTGCACTTTCTTTACTGGCATTTTAAAAACCTGCTAATACCTAAATGGGTAGACATGTTATGGAGCTTAACTAATGAGCTAGCAAACGCCGGTACTTTTATCTTCACACTAAATTCAGCAGAATTCTAAGTTTAGCGTCTAAAGAAGCTTCTGTTACAGAAACACATCCATTACAATGAGGAGACAGAAAAGAGTCCACCTGAGTATGTCTATGCCATTCCTAATTGCCATGATCCTACAATGCCTTTCAAGTGAAAATGGCCCAGACTGAAGAGAATTAAAGTTCAAAATATTCCTGAGGAAGCATCCAGGTTTTTTTGCGATTCTTCTTTCTTCACTTCCAAAAACTTATTTTTTGTTCTCTCTGACATTTCAGAAACTCTCACACCAAACTGAAAAAAAAAAAATTATGGAGATGAGCTGGCACTCTACAAGCTTTGCCAAAATGTTGCTATCTTGTTCACGTTAAACCTTGACAGCTGGCTATCAGCTGACATCCAGAAACGTAGAAATAAATGGATCGGGACTTCTGCTCAAGGACCATCAATACTCAGGACCGCTACAGAAGAGGCACATCCCACGTTTTATATGAGCGCACCCGGATCACACTGACACAGGAAGAGGCCACACTCGAAGACTGTAAAGGGGAAGTCATGCAAAACCAGAAGGGAAAGCAGGAAGGGGTAGGAAAAGAAGAGAGAGAGGAGAGGAAGTGCTGACACAAACGTATTCGAGAATATTTTGTTTCAGGCTTGAGTCATATATCAAGTCAGTATTCCAAAATATCAAAACATTTTTGGACAAAATACAGTTTTCCTTACTACTCACACTGATGTCGAGATGTATAGAGGTGTAGCTGACATTACATAAATAAGGCAAAAAAACATCGTAGACATGAAACACTCCTGTGGGATATACAATACTTCCTTTCTAGCATTTGAGAGACCTTTTCTTTTTCTTCAGCTTAGACGCAAGTGAAAATCTAGTGAGTGAACACTGGAAATCCAGTTGTACAACTAAGAAGTGTGACGACTGTAAATACGTCTATCTGGTTGAATAGATTTTAAATACTTCCATTTGAAAACTTTCTCATTACTCATCTGAATTATTGTATTTTTGGCATTAATTTAGCTGATATTTTGACAAGACTCTTCAAAATACTTGCGTAAGATGTAGAGCAGCTTGATAATTATTGTCATAACCCTCCCACGTATCAGTAGGTTAAGGCATTTGTTTTAAACTCGATCTTGCAGACTACAGAAAGTTTCATTAAAACCAAGCTACAATTTGATATTCACAATCTTCAACATCCGATTTAGACAGTTGTTCAGTTATCCATGAATTTCTGGGTCCACACACACGCTTAGTATTTCATATATTACACTATAATATTACATATCTCATCAATAAGTCTCAGGAGAAATAAAGTAAAAAATGGGTTTTTTTGCTGAGAACTCTAATTTCAATTTTATACAAACTCCAGTGTGTAATTCAGAGTTTCAACTCTACATATTTATGCGTCTGCACTTTTATTATGTAGTAAAGAGTGATTCACTTTGACACAAGCAGCTAGAAGCCAGCATGTTAACTTTTTGCTTATGCAGAGATACAGCCTCCAAGAGGTATATGGAAACAACACTCCTCTTCCTTCCCTCTCCAATCAATTTTTCATATCAACATGTTCTGAGAACACAGGGTAACTATACACACACACTGCTGCACTTATACTGAAGGATATAACTGACCCTTACCTTTTTAGCATCCATAGTTAGGTTGTATTAATGGCATGCTAAGCGCTAGAGCCAAAGACTGAAAAAATTCCCTGTGTATTTTATTAGTATTCATGAGCATATTCTCCAGACACGGTATGTGGCACAAACTATTCCTCATTAATATTTGCTACTGGGATGTGTTTGGCTCCAGAAATTGACACAGGTGACTAAGATGACATGAGAGAGAAGCATTTCAATGCAAAATAAAGCATAGTTCTTGCATGTACCAAGATAATATTGGTCTTGATTCCAGCAGTGGCCTGGGACAATGACCTGCTATAAAAGGATCAAAACCAAACTAAAATAAACCAACAATAAATAAAGAAACCCACATCACAAAGCCCTAACCACACCAAAATAGCTCACGCAGGGACAAGTTCCATTTTTAGCTATCTCCGTGCAAGACTACTGATACCAACTTAACAGCACCAACTTACCTTGACCTCTTTTCTCCAGAATTTTTGAACTTCTCCTTCCCAATCCTCTCCTCTGAACACTGCAAGCTTTGGCATAATTTAGCAGGTAGTTTAGCTTTGGCACATGGACAAGGCCTCAGAGCAAAAGGATTTATCTTGTTCAGTTTAGAAGTTGACAGTAACCTTGAATTGGACTCATGTTATTTGCCTTATCTACTCTCTTTCTCCTTTCCATCCCTTGAGACCCTTAATCTCTTTAGAAGACAGGATTATTTTACTTATTTTCTAGACACACTCCAAAAACCTTGTTGTGTAGTTTTAATCTACTCACTAAATGTACGGTCAACAGCAATCTTTTTGATAGCCAAATGTGATCCAAGGACTACTAAAAAAACCCTCAAGTATATAATTGATATATTATTCCATGTGTAAATAGCAACAGAATGCATAATTCCAGGAACAGCACTTGCCAACAGAAGTCCTATACAAGCAGGATTGTTTGTTTCTTTTTGTTCTACCTTGTGTTTTACAGGACTGCTGACCCAAAAAATGCTGTGTACCAGTATTTTGTTCTAACACACACCACTGCAAAATCAGCAAATTCAAAATTCTGTCCAGTTTTGCCATTTTGAAATTGCTATCATCTTTAACAGTACCAGGATTTTTTGGATAGGGAATAAATGCAGATAATAGCAGTTGGAAAGGAAAAAAGAGAGATATGTACAGGAAGATGCACACAACTAAAAATGAGGGGTTAGACCACCCTTCCTCTGGAACAGAGCAGTTCACTCAGAAGTGGCAAGAAAGATCAAAGTACTAGGGTGGGGACAGTTTGTTTGGGATCTCTCAATTGTATGATTTGTCCTCTCAAAAAAGTGAGCTGGGTCAAAAGTCCCAAAGACACATCTGGTTTTCTGCCACTAAAACTAAAACTAGATGCCACTTCAAAGCTTCTCTCATGCCCGTTCTTTGTAGACTTTATTTATGTGTTCCTAAATGCTAAAGCCTTCTCATTTGCTCATTCTCAATGTGACCATCAAAGCAAAGGCTGAGTTCTACTTCACTGAAAGAATACAAACAAAATCATAAACCAGGACACAACTTTCAACAGGCCTCCATATCTTTAATTTAGAAAGACTGTTCCTTTTGACAAGTG